ATACCGACTGCCTATTTAAGGAACCTTGTACGCGATATATAGAGGTTTTTTCTCTTGTAATTAAAGTAAAATAACGATGTTTACATCCGACAGAAAAAAATGGTCTGGTATAAGGTACTGGAAACTGTACGTGAGCAAGGAACATGCGAAACCGGGATACCAAGGCCAAAATTGTCCGGTGCAGGGCCGATTTTTGGTACATTTGCATTTGACCTGCACTAATTGTGTCTGCACTAGAAAGGGGCCCCCCAGCTCACCAACTTAATTTTTTAATTAAAAGATTGGTTTTATCGTTCGCGCAATGTGTCTGGTGATAAGTGGTGGCTCGTCAATTCAGGGGAAGCAACTCAATATTTCAAACGCTGGAAGGGCTCACACTACTATATTTTGGAGGACGGTGTCCTCCCAGGCCCCCATTAAACAATAAGTCCACCCGTATAAGCGGGCCCCCCTGAGAGCTCTAATTTTCACGCGGAATCCCCTCAAAAAATTGAGAGTGCGCACGCGAAAAATCATACATACACAACGATTAGTAAAATATATTATGCTGACGTGCAAATGTCTGTCACCTTAAGGTGAAATGGTCTTTGATACATGTATTCATGCCTCGATATGTATAAGATGCAATTTATTATTTGGATAGAAATACATTGTATTAGCATTATATTAAGCAGACCTGTCATGAGTGTCTTGTGTAGTACAGTAGTATGTCTTATAGTCAAAATAGCAGCATAAATTTGAAAAATATGATACCTAGATTTCTCCCAGAAGTGCTTGCAAAACGCGTTTCCCGTTGTCAAATTTCAAAAAGACCCCCCTACCAGTGGCGCGCCTTCGGCCCTTTCGGGGCCAGCACGCCCCTGTCATCATCTACTTTTGAACTGTTATAGCAAGAATGGCCAACTCTCTATAAAAATCTCCCATATTGATTTTGCGGTGGATATATCACCATGAGGAAAATAGACATTAAATTAGATCTCACGTATCAAATCGGTCAACCTCCTTCAACGTTTTCATCAGATAAATATGATGCTCTTTGGTGATATAAAGTTCTGAATCCACGAAATGTTGGGCTTTGATGTTAGTTTGTTTTTTGGCTTTTATTTTTTTTTTTTTTTTAAAAGAAGCTTCTGGTCCAGATAGGGCATGAAATTCACATTAAAGTCTTAATTTGGGTCCATTCGTCGATTTGACTTGATAACTGGTTTGGCTCAGTTTCTTGTGAATGGGGTGCGCGTGTGCGTAGGCTATATGCATCTATACTAATGTCCAAAAGAAAGTATACACTGTGCATTTTGTGCTGCATCAACCAATGTCGTTTTTCCACATAAACGGTATTTGGGTAGAATGTCAGTTTGTTTCACATTTTCATTTTGCTTAGAAATGTTGAGTTTGGACGCAAGAGACAAACCCAGTAATGCTTTATCAAATGTTTTTAATCTAAACAAAACTTAGTCATACTTTTAGTGTGTATTCTTTCTTTTGGACATCAGGATATTAGCTTTGGTTTCAGAATATCATATTGTACACATTACCCGTCTTCATTAGCCGAATTGATGCAGAAAAGTAAACATAATTTCATTGAATTTCTGTACCATTTTTTATTTTTATCCCAGTACTGACTTATGCTGTTGATTCAAATTTTGTAAAGAGCCCCCCCCACCCCCCGTACCATTTATAATTATACAATGTTTCGACATGTTGACGAGGCAGAGCACCCTTGGATCATTTGAATCTTATTGCGTATGTAAAGTAAATGTTAGTCGAATTGAGCTAAACTATAGTTATCCTACATAGCCGTTTTCAAAGTTTACATAAGACATGATAAATAAATACTGTTCCGGGCACAGTAAGACGCGAACCAATCTAACAAATGTTCTAATTACATTTCGAACGTCCTAGCCCACAATTAATGTTTTAATTTTTGTCAAATTTTGAAAGTCCACACTGTAAAAGGTAACAGGGTTTCTATAAAACTCAGACTCAAAACCGGCAGGAGCGTTTTATTTATTTATTTTTTTGTCAATATGACACAGTCTGCAAAACAGTTACAGATGAGGTAAGATATATTTTAGATATGCATATTCTACACATCATTTCATAAAAAAAACCCTGAAAAAGTGTGAAATTGAAAAAAGCAAAAAAAAAAGTTCTTGACCGTCAAAATTTCAAATATTCATTTCGTCAGTGTTTTGGGGGTTTTTTTTATAAAAAAAATATATTTGGAATATTGTGTGTAGAATGCAACGCCCGGTGATTAGTAGGCCATTTTTATCAAGCTTTTAATTATGAATTGTTTTGGAAATTTTGAATATTTAAATTTAGGATATGCTGAGTAGAATATGCTTTATAATACATTTACCTCGTCTGCCATTTTTTTCTATACTTCGGCGTTACTGACACCCCCCCCCCCACCAAAAAAACCCCCAAAAACCGCTCTTGTCTGTAATCTGGCCCGGGTCAAATAGAGCTATAAACATGTTGGAATAGGTTTGAACTAATCAATTTCTCGTTTCCCAATATAAAGTCGAAGTCAGTTTGTTACCAATTATAGTTTCAGTTTTGCTTCAACTGTGTACTATTCAAGACAAAATCCGTTGCATCTTGGCACCAACAACGAAAAATAGACTCATTTATCAGATTTAATAAATTATTCATTTTACCCATATCAAAGCGGTCTATTTTTTAAAGATATATTATGGGAGATTAGATAAAGAGCTGGTAGTTCTCACTATAGACTAGATAATGTCAAGGGAATTTGCTGAAAATTTCAGTCAAATTGATCCACTCTGACCCGAGAATTTAGCGATTGAATTTTGGGCCTAACCTCGATCATCATTTCTAAAGTCAGTACGATAAAAAAAACATAGTCTCGATTATCCATTTTTTTTATTTAATCATGAATGAGCATTGAGTAGCAGATCGGATTATAATCCAGTAAATCGCAGGCTAAAGAACGACCTGCAATTGGCAGATTTAGCTCTTGCATAATGTATGTTTAATTTTTTATTGAATTTTGCGCATTATGTTTTCAAATGCTTCATTTAGACACCTTGTTTATCAAAACGCAATTTCCTCGGCAACTTCTGGACCGATTTAGTTATATAAACCCTGTTTCTATTAATGTATTCTGCTTTTTGATAGGCAGTGAAGTCTACTAAAAGTATTTTTTTAAAATTCCGATTTAGGCCCATATATGTTATCAAGACTGTTAAATAATTACCATTTTGGTATTGCTATAGAAATGTAATTGACCACCGAATTAATTAGAATTATCGTCAATTGAAAGATTATGAATTCCTTCAAGCAACGCATTTGTAAATGTTGAATCTCTAAAAGGAACCGGGGAATGTCTAAAAGGAATACATGTATTTGCAAAGATATGATGATTTGAAATTTCAACTTTTATATTCCCGTGCAGACGATATTTAAAACAAGCCATGGAGTGTTGGTAAAATCTTTCGACGGTCCTTCTTTTATTCCGGAATATTATCTTCTTGTTGATATAGTGTTGGTTGTTTTTTGTTTTTTTAAATTAAATGTTAAAATATGAGTACATTTTAGACGTTAAAAAATGAGTACATTTTAGACGTTAAAAAATGAGTACATTTTAGATGATAAAATATGAGTACATTTTAGCGTGGATTGAAAAAAAAAGCCTTGAAAAAATATTAGGTAAAAACTGGCCAAAAAACACAAAAGACGATCAGCTTTTTTGAAAAGTTTTATTCGTATAAAAAAATCTAGTGTTGCCCAACATGCAATCCCACCCACCCAACATTATCGAATAGCCTATAGTCTATAGCCTTGTTTTAACACGTGGGGGGGGGGGGGCGAATGGTTAGCACGCGCGCGCTGTATCATACGGTCTGTCATGAGTCGACTTGCGGGGTTTCGATTTCCCGGTTGTACGTGACAAGGAGTAGGGTCGCATGTCCAACCTCGCGGGTTTTCTCCGGGTCCTCCGGTTTCCTCTCACTGCTAAAGACCCCTACGCGCAACGATTATTGAAATAATATTGAACCATGTGTTAGTCCCGAAATGACCTAGTTTAGATCGAGTGGACGTTACACCCCATTTCTCCCCCCCCCCCTCTCTCTCTCTCTGACTCTCTCTCTCTTTGTTTTAACACAATTAAAATTAATTTAAATATTTATAGGCCAATTTTATTTTTATACCGCCCGGTATTGTAAGGAATGCCGTTGGACTGTTTGGGATTTCAAACAAGAGTAGGTATCTTAAAGAGAAACCCGGTTACGATTGTACGAGAGCGCGTCTATCCCTTCATCGTGATCCTAGTAACGTGACAAGATTAAAACACTGACTGAACTGCGTATTTCATCAATGAGTAAAAATCTTTGTTGACAAGGGTGAACCGTAACTCCTCGTGAACAGCGCCATCTACCGAAAGTCGGTGAGGAATAAATTACGGAAACTACCGATTGGTATACCTGATAGTTATTTGGTCTGTATAACAATTGAATATTTCTCGAACGCTGTATAGATGTCCCAAAAGAGTTACTATTAACTCAATATTATAAAATTGCTTCAGATTAGTGAGAGATATACGCTATTTAGAGGGGAATTCCTACATGACGTCATCACCGGAAAATATTTCATGGCGGCGCGAATTCTACGAAAGTCACGTGACTAGCCCATTTTTCAGAGCGCAAATTTAAGGTATTGTTGATGCTGAGATTACTGTGATTTTAGACACTGTTATTCTTTTATTTCAGCTCTCTTATGTAACTCTTTGAAGGTTGAGAGGTCCATTTTTATTGGTAACTGCTCAAAATTATTGTATTATCAAGAATTATAATGAAATCAAGATTTCTAATTTGTGAAAAATCCAGCATGGCGTCACATGTTCTTTCACGGTTTTCTCTCCTTGTCTGACAATCCAGTCCGTGCTGTTGACTATATTTACTGTTGCAACGTAAAAACCAGAACGGCGTTCGAGTCATTAATTTATTTTGTAAATGAAATTTGTGTAAAATTAATTTTCAGAATTATAAAGCTGTCATTTGTCGGGGCAAATAATTGTTAAACAAATCCTTATCAGCTGACAACAAAGCGAAAAGGTATTTTCCATTTCCTGTGTGGATTGATCTAGATCTAATTCTGACAAATAAATGTGTCATATTATATCTCCCGGAAATAAAACATGAACAAAGATATAATTTCTTGTCATATCAAAGAGAGTTTAAAATTAATGGCTATTGATTTTATTTTGTGTATGTATCTAGTGTTTATTAAATTAATGACCTGACTGACAATTATTTTCTTATGCAACTATGACTGAAACCATGGCAATGGCTTCAGGAGTAGGCTACAGACTATCATAAGGCCTGATAGATAGTACAGAATGAGATAGACAAATCCCGTACATATTGGCTTGTACATTTTATGTTTGCTTGTTTACCTTATTGTAGGCTATATAATTTAGTTCTGAAATTTGAACCTAGTGTGGCCTAGGGCTAAGAGGAAAATGAAATAGGGTTAATGTCCTAAAAAATTGTTTAGTTTTTTAATAGATCGTTACTTCTGGCACATTTGGTCATTCTCGTTTGTCTAATATGCAACAGAATGTGTCAGTAAGGGCTTACAAAGATACATTGACACATAATTATAACTAAAATAAATTCATTTATAAAAACTAAAGGAAGGATAAGACAGTCTGTATTTGAATTACAGTCGAGTAGAAAAGAAAGATTCTCTCTAAAATATCAAATACATATTTTGAGCAGTAGAGGGGTTCCCCAGTACTACAGTAGCGCACCACCATTTGCAGCAAATACAAAAAAATACCCTCTGCAAATTAAATTGGAAGGTCAAAATGAAAATCAAACCTGTCAATTCCAAACTTTTGAAGGTTTTTTTCAGAAATGTTATAATTTGTTTAAATATCTAAATGTATTCTCTTAAAACTTTATACTTAATGTTTCATTTTTTTTTTCAGAATCTTTTTGTACATATCTTGTACATACTGTATAGCATGAGTGCAGCAGTAAGCACCTCGCGTGCTACTAGTAGAATTAGTAGGGACAAATTGTCCAGCCGACAAACACAACAGACAAATAGACACAATGAAGGTGGAGGAACAGGACTCGTACCAAAGGACAAATATCAGGTAAAATTGGAACCCGTTTCTGCTGATTGATTCATATTCCCATTCATATTTCATCACAAGCATTGTATGTTAGCCAGGGCTAAATATTAACTCTTTTACATCTGGAATTGCTTCCATGGACTTGGAATCATCTTGTGTACAATCAACTTAACATGAAATTTTTGTCAGGTTTCTTCTTTGAACAATTGCACATTGATTGATCTTTGAACAATTGCACATTGATTGATAGACTTTGATTTTTGATACGATGCCACAATTCTAAGACGGTAACAGTGCTGTTGTTTTTTGGACAATATAGTATGCTTGTACATGTTTTCAATTAGACCCGAAGGCTTATGTCAAGAATTACTTAATAATCTTCAACATAGTTCTCAAATTTTATTCATTGCCAAATTAATGAATTATATTTTTTTTGTTTACTAGCCGACACAAGAACAGATAAATATTGCTCAGATAACAAACATCAACAATGATGATGAAGTTAAAAAGATTGAACAGGTGAGATCTTGCTGTGATGTGGCAGTCAAAATTTTCCTATCTGTGACACAGGAAACAAAATGACAACATTTTTAGTATTTTTACAACTTTTTTTAAAATGTTTTGTTGTGAACTTTAAATTGATTAATTGCTTTCGAAAAAAGCATAGACACTGCCCCCAGAGCAAACTTTTAGGAACAATTTGCATTAGCAATTTTTATTAGTCATTCAGATTGCTAGTTCAAATCATGGATGGTCAAATCGTAATTGAGTCAGTTACATAACACCCCTTGCAGCGGTCTCACTCATGGTTGCATTTGCCTTTACAAATACCTGTTTTCTTTCCAAAAAGGTTAAAGATAAATGTGCTATGATTTGTTTTCTTTTGATATTGTAGTTAATGGAGATGACAGGTAAAAATGAGGATCAAGTAGCACTGGCTTTATTGGATTGTGAAGATGATTTAGAGAGAGCAGCTTTAATGTTATTAGAAAGTAATATAGATATTGATCAGGTAAAAATAAATATAATTCATTCAAATGTTATTGTAGACAGTATCTTTATACTGTTCATATTTAATTTGGGATATTTTGATAATATAAAAAAAATGTCAGTTATTGTTGATATTGTGATTCGTTGCATCATTACACATGTGCATGTACTAGACTAGTGCTGGCACGATATATTGTAGAATCGATGTATCATGATTCATCTTCTCACGTTTCACGTATTGAATCGCGGGATGATGAATTGATATATCATGATTTTTTTTTTATGTTTTTTTGTCGCTCTTTATTATCCATGTCTCACATTATTCATAGGTACACAAACACTCTAAAATTTTTTGGGTCCTTATTTTGATTCACATCAATATCATGATATAAAACACTTTTATTACTTCGACATTGACAGGACTAAAAATATCTATTCATTTATCCTGTTGTGTTTTTTGGGTAAATATTGACCTGGTTATGAATCGTGGAACGAATCGTATCTTGACTGAAGTGGTAATACCCACCACTATACTATCTATACAAGAGTTGATGTAGTGTCTGTAGATGATTCAGGATTCAGGATGTTTGTTATATTATACAGGAATGTGATTAGAATATTAAAATTATGTTGGCTTCCTCGTCTGTTTTTATGTACATGTAGGTCATTACTGAGGATGTATCTCATAGTACTGATACAATATTGTAACTAAACCATAAGTGCTTGGAAATTAAAATGATCAAATATTTTCAGACAATTCAAAATTTAAATTGTCATTTAGGCCTAATTCAAGAGAAATTTATTTTTTGGAAATGAATTAAATTAACAGGAAGTAACAGATAAGATATCAGTCTAGTACTGTTTATTTAACATCCTAGTTAAAATAAAGTCACTTTAAGGTTAAAGTTGCTGATTATTATTTGCATTTTTTCGGACATCATAATTCTTCACAAAATCCAAGCTTAATCCACACTTATAAATTTTATTCATTAAACAAATTCAAATTTCATCAGTGACAGATGATCTACTGACTTGGGTTCAATTAGATTGAAAATAAAACTATAAAAAGATTGCAACGAATATCATAGGAGGCTCTGGCTTGTGTTGGTTATATCCTATATAAATGGATGTTTAAACATACATTATGCAAGAGCTAAATCTGCCTATTCCAGGTCTTTCTTTAGGCCTGAAATGTTATATAAAGTATTCATTAGACATTTATTAACATATCCAGGTCATAATCAACTTTCGATGTCTGTGGTCTAGACATTTTGTAGAATATTTTGAAGAGGATGTTATTGTTTTTCTAACCTTGACTTGGCATGAATTATTATCTTTCAAAATTTATATTAGAGTTATTGACCTCTTATTACATGTAGTTAATTGTGAATTATAGTATTCCACATCAAAACAAGCTGATTGACAATGACTAGTATAAAAACTTTTTATGGGGGGGGGGATTCCACATTAAAACACTGTAACCCAGGTACATGTATTATTTAATCTTGTGTATCTAGCACTAATTTCTTTCACATTTGTTTTAATATAAGATCTTTGTTTAAAAATTCATAAAAATTAATTAAAATCACCAAAAATCATCTAATTTATACTTGTCCAGTGTAAAGCTGACTGATTAATTTTGATAATAAGTGTTCAATTTACAAGTATTTAATTTCCTGACTACTATCCAAACATTAATCATTATACATCATTATCAATTGGGTTGTTTATTTTTCAACAGTGATTGAGAAATTAAACACTTGTAAATTGGACACTCATCAAAATTGAATGGTCAACTTTAAACTGGACACAAGTACAAATAAGATGATTTAGGGCGATTTTAAACATTTTTTTTACGAATTTTTAAACAAAAATTTGATATTAAACATATGTGAAAGAAATTAGTGCTAGATACACAAGATTAAATGATACCTGGGTTACACACCGTGAAACAAGCTGGATGACAAAGACTAGTATAATAACTTGTGGGTAGATTGACATTTATTCAGTTTGATATACAGTTCAAATGTAGGCCTATAGCTCATCCAAAATATTGTTTTTGAATAAGGTTGCCCTGTTCAGAATTTCAGTTAAAGAATTAATTCATAATTTAATTTTCATGTTGCCTCAAAATCAGAAGGTATATGGAAATAAACATAGCAAATAACTATTCTTGATGCTGCGAAAATTAAATTTGCATTGTTTGTTTTGATTTTGTGTACTTGATTAAAGTAAATTAAAGACACTTACATGTACACTGTATATGGGTATACTAGTTCTGAATTTATTAACACGATACACATACAGATAAGCAAATTTGCTTGATAACGATATCTGTATGTGTATCGAAACGTAGCATGTTAATAAATTCAGAACTAGTGTACCCATATACATGTCTTTAATTTGTGTATCTACTTCTATATGTCGTATTAGGATTTTCATTAAAGTAACTCTTAAATGGATTTATTAAACCCCTTTATTAAGATTTAAGCCTGAATAAATCACCAGAATAAACCAACTAGATGATGTGGTATGTTAAAGCAATCTTGTCACATTCACGTACATCATTGAATTAACTAAGCTAACTAGTATTTTTACTGTATGTAGGGTGAATGGAAAAGCCAGGGTAAGAAGAAAAAGCCTAAAAATCCAGGACCGCCACCACCAGCCCCATCAAAGAATGAAAACACACAAAATATGACATCGGAAAAATCAGAAATGAAACGTGACAGAAGTAGAGATCGAGAAAATGATTCGTCAGATCGTTATGATGGTCCGTCTAGACGTGGAAGAAGGAATGGTGCTCCACCACCAAGATTTGCCAGAGGACGAGGTCGCGATAGAAACTTCTATGGAGGTGACAGAAATGAAAATGGAGATGACAATAGAGAAAATGGTTTTGATAACCGAGAAAGAAGTGGTGATCGTGGGCGTGGAAGAGGTAGAGGTGAGTAAGATTTATGAAATATTCTGTATATAAATGACATTAAAGGGTGTATGGCTCTATGTTTTAAAACTTTGAAATAGACAAAAATGGTTCTAAAAGCACATATTAATGTAATATGAATGTATATAAAGTGATTTATTTTCAATTTTTAAAAAAATTATAATTCTGATCAATTATGTTCGGTGAAATATGTTAACAGTTGAAATTGAATTTCCCTCATTGCTCACTATATGGCATATGCCCATCTTCATTAGCCCAGTCGGAGCAGAACAGTAGGACGTTAAACCCGATTTCATTTATTTTGTAGGCGGATTTGGCAGAAGAGGCAGAGGAAGGTGAGTAATGGGTCTTTATTTAAATTTACTTTATTTTCGGAGAAATAACAATTTAGCATAAAGGAATGAGAAACTTGACATTCAAGAGTTGAATATTATTGAACTGTAATATATTTTTTTGATTTTACATTAAAGTGTTATTCTCTGGTGATAAAACCCATTCCAACAGTACAATTATTTTCTTGGATTCTATATTTAACTCATATTCTATCAGGGAGCTTGCTTTTGGTCAAGAAAGTACCTTGAGATTTTCCAGGGTCATTTTTCCTTATCACGCAGACATTGGCATGCAAGTAAAATAAATCTTGTCAGTTGGAATTTAATATAAGAGTAGGTCGCATTGCAGCTGTCAAGGCAAAATTCCCCTTATAACCCACTGTATGGCGTCTGCCCATCTTCATTAGCCCGGTCGGTTCAGAAAGAAGGATGTTAAACCCCATGTCATTTGTTTACTACAGAGGTGGGCGAGCTGGAGGAGATTTTAGTGCTGACTTTGGAGGGGAATTTAACAGTGAAAAACCGGCCAAGTTTGAAAAAGGTCCACAGATCGATACATGGACAAACGAAACAGCTGAAATATCACAGAAAGAACCTGCTGGTAAATATTGTATATTAGTATCATCTCCTTTCTCCTTGTCAGCTTGGGGGGTGGGTGGCCGAATGGTTCACACATGCGCTTTTGATCAGAAAGTCTGTCATTGAGGCAAGTGGTGTGGTTTCAATTCTCCGCTTGTACATGACAAGGATTAGGGTCGCCTGTCCATCCTCGTGGGTTTCCTTCCACTGCTAAAGACCCCTGCACGCAAGGGAATTATTGAAATAAAATTGTACCATGTGTTAGTCTTGAAATGACCTAGTTTGTGTCGGGTGGACGTTAAACCCCATTTCTCTCTCTCTCTCTTTACCTTGTCAGCTGCATGAAAGAGAACATGACAAGGAACATCATGAAAGACTTGCAACTTTCAACTCATTTTGCAAATCATTTTCAATTCATAATATGTTATATAAATCCTGAACAGAATTGAACTATTTTTGAACTGATATTTCTTTAGAGATAGTTTGAAAAAATAGATTTAAATCCGGTAATAATTGGTCAGGATTTTTTAAGGTTGAAATTACTGATCTATGGAAATAACCAAAATCATTTGATTGACCAGATAGGTGTAATGATAACGCATACAAAAAATGTTGTATTAGCCAACATTTAATTTTCAGTCTTCCTATTTTTGAATGATTAAATATTTTGTTTAATGTAGGTTGGGGACAGACTTGGGGAGCAGAAGATTGGAGTGATGATACATGGACAGGAAATGTAAGTTTGTTACTTGTTGAAGGTCAATAGTATTCATGACATCTGTATGATTGAATTTGAAATAGTCAAGATTTGATCTGTACCATGAGGCTCTGTACAGTAAAATTAATTGCTACTTTAAAATGAATTGGCATGAAACAAAACTATATTTACCTCATGTTGGCATGGGACAATACTATATATCTTATATCTTCTGCTGGCATTGAACAAAACTGTTTATCCCCTGCTGGCATTGGACAAAACTATATATCCCCTGCTAACATTGGACAAAATTATATACCCTGGCCTACTGGCATGGGATAAAACTATATATCCCCTGGCCTGCTGGCATGGGACAACTATATTTATTCAGATATATACTTTCATATTCAAAAGTTAATTTTCCAAACTAGTCCCTTGTTTGGCATCTGCCTTTTCAGTGCATATCTTCCTGTTTGATTGCATGTGTAATATTATTAAAACTAAATGAATTTTCTGTTATAGTTGAAAGAAACACAAGTATTTACAGCATCATCAGTAACAAGTACAGATCCCGAGCCTATTACTACTCCTAGAAATGAGTCAAACTCACTAGGACAAAGGTATTTATTTTGAAAGGTTTAATTGGTGTGTTAGATTGGTCAGTTAATTCTGAAATGATTTGATTTTCTCTCGCATTCTTACTTTATTCTTGTTACACTATGTCGTCTAGAATAATATTAAACTAGCATGTAGTCTAAAATGATATTAACCTAGCATGTAGTCTATAATATTAACCTAGCATGTAGTCTAGAATAATATTAACCTAGCATGTAGTCTAGAATAATATTAACCTAGCATGTAGTCTGGATTAATATTAAACTAGCATGTAGTCTAGAATATTAGCCTAACATGTAGCCAAGAATATTACCCTAGCCTGTATAATAATATTAACCTAGCATGTAATCTAAAATGATATTAAACTAGCATTAAGTCTATAATAATATTAACCTAGCATGTCGTCTAAAATGATATTAACCTAGCATGCAGTCTAGAATAATACTAATCTAGCATATAGCCTAGAATATTACCTAGCACGTAGCCTGGAATATTACCCTAGCATGTAGTCTAGAATAATATTAACTTTAATTTGTAGATTATAATAAGATCAGATGGTGGTAATACAATATAAATCTGATGTTGATATATTAATTTAAATAGTTGTTCTGCTTCTGTTGGATCTCAAAAGATTGATGGTTATAAATCGTATATTTATTATTTAAAAAATCCACAGAATAGATACGATTATACGTAATGTTTGTTCTTGTAGATTGGATATTGGTATGTTACTACAGAAACCAAACGAGATGCCACAACAGAACAAGCAAGCCTACAATCTCTCACAATATAACCAACAGGCTACAGAATCCATTAAAAATTGTATCGGGGTGAGTTAAAAACATTCAGCTAATATCACTCAGTAGATCTGTAATGGCTTTCCCAAGCCTGGGAAAATGGCACCCGTCAGACAATATTAGGCACAGATTCAGGCTTTTGTCAGGCACAATAACCCCGGGTGTCTTTTTTTTCAGGCACTGATTTGTCTTTTTTACAGACTTACACTGTGTCCGGCACAGTTAAAAATGTCAGGTACTAGTTTGTTAGTGCCTGACATTTTGTTAGGTACATCTAAAACCTTTATTTCCAGGCCTGGCTACTCCTATTATCTATTGGATCCGCGGTGGCTTAGTGAGGTCGATACTAACTCAGAAGCAAGTAGGACTCAGTTTCTTGCCCGGTGATGGCCGATACATTTCATCAGCACGGAATGCGTTCAGCACGGATTGCGTTTGGTTGGTAGGAATTTGAAAAATAAGAGTAGGTGGTAGTGCTAACATCCTAGCAAAGTCAGGATTTTCCGGCGTGGTTTCCCTTTGTCAGTGGTGCAGGATGGAGGGCCTGGCAAGGACACCTGTCTAGTTATTTGGATGAGATGAAAACCGAGGTCCCGTGTACACATTGACGTGTACATAAAAGATCCCTTGATAGTTGGAATTCGATATAAGATAAGCCATAGCACCACTGTCCGAGCAAAATATCCCTCACAGCAGAACAGTAAAACATTATACCTCATTTCATTTCATTTTTGTTTTTGTTTTTTTGTTTTCAGATTGGTGCCCCTCGTCCTCAAACTATTTCGAATCTCCAGTCTAATCAATCACAGTCTCTTGGTCCGGTTGGTTCCATTTCACAAAGTGTTCAGTCAAACAGTTTGCCTTCTCCATCACAGTCTTTACCAGGTCAAACTTCACTACAGCAGAGACCTAAAATACCTAGAAGTAAATTACCACCACCTTCAAAGGTATTGTCAGCCACACCCATATTATGAATTTAATAAGATTGTTAAATAAACCAATTCGGGTAATTTGAATGCTGCTGTTGTGTACTGTAGTATGTAAAAATGTTCTTAAAAGTCCACAAGCTACAATTTCGTGTCAGGTCACACTTTTTGCTCTTAATAAACGGCAAGCTGCATACTTTAAGATCTTTAAATGTGAGATAGAGATATGACATTTGACGGAAAAACACTGTGGTCATTTTTCTGGTATGGCAGATTTATATCTCCTATTGGTATTCGAACATGTACCTTCAATGTGGAAGACATATAAGCTATCCAGTAAGCCATAAGGGCACTCTACTGGCCGAATGCCACATAATAAAAATGAAAATGGCTGCTCGCACGACTAATTCTGCCGGAGTAATTACTAGTGTAAGCCTATATATGAGGGAGTAGTCATCTACTAGCTTAAGTCCCGACAGTCAAACTTAGAGTTATAATTGATATTGATAGAATGGATATAGAGTAACTTTTTGTTATAGATTCCTGCATCAGCTGTTGAAATGCCAGGCCATAGGATGCCGATGTTAGATGTTCAGTTTGGGGTGGATTTTGGTAATGAACCAGCTGCGTTGTCATTTGGTTCAACAGAAAACACTGTTAATAGTCGACTACCAACAACAGTTACTAACAGGCAAGTATACTACAATTAATGTGTGCTTAGATTGTTCCAATCTTTCCAGAATTTCTGGTGAATTTCAATTATTGGTGTTGGATAACCCAAGAATTTGTTCTTGAAGGAAAGACTAATTCTAATTGTACAAATATGCTTATATTGTTCCATTCTTTCTGGAATTACTGGCATGATTTTCATGATTTTCAAATTTTTGGGTGGCTGAAAGGTTAATGCATGCACGTTGCATTATGAGGTCTGTCAATTGAGTCAAGCGGCTTGGTTTCGATACCAAACTTGTATGTGACGAGGAGTAGTCTCTGGGTTCTACAGTTTCGTCCCACTGCTAAGGGCCCCAATGCGCAATTAAATTATTGAAATAAAACTTAAACCGTTAGTCACGAAATGACTTAGTTTGTGTTGAGTGGATCTTAAACCCAATTTCTCTCTCTCTATTAGGCCTAGATGTTCAATTCTTTCCAGAATTACTTGTTCAAGGAAATATTAATTAAATTGTTTATTAATTAGATTAATAATTTACTTTCTCATATTTCAGTCAAACGTCCTCGCTAACCAATCATCTTCCTCAAATAAACTCGGCCCCTAATCCACCAGAGTCTATGACCTCATCAATAATGGCATCTCCACCGGCAGGCAGCAACTCGGCCGTTATGACAGGGCTGGATCAGTCCTCCAGAACGTCTAATATGTACCAAAACACAGCCTATTCTTCACCTCCCAAAAATGACACACAGTCTGTTCTGAATCAAAACAAGGTAAAATAATCTGTACAATATTTCATGAAATTTAACCATGTGAAAGCTGTCCTTCACGGTAATAAAATTGTGTGGGAGCCAGAAGAAGCTCCTGCCTATTTCAAAAATAAGAAAACATCTCCTGTACAAAAAACTCTTCATAATTACGTTACTAGAGTAATTCTATATTTTCTTGAATGAAGGAAAGCAAATTGTATTTATGTTTTAATCTTGTTTAATATTTGGGGAATATTTTAGCGTCAGAATTATCTTCATGGAAACTGATAGCTTGAACGTATGCAGTTTAAAAATAAAGAAAAACTGAAAGTAGTTTATTAATCTCATATTTAGGAGAGCGATTTAGCTAATTTACTTGAGTCTTTAATGACTCCCGCAATGTAAAATCAACATTCGAGAGGAGCCAAAGTGCAGTTTAAAAGTAAACAAAAACTGAAAGTAGTTTATTAATCACACTATTTAGGAGTGCAATTTGGCTAATTTACGGTAGTCTTTAATGACTCCCGCAAAGGATAGTCACGGTTCTCGAGAGTAGCAGGAGCGAAAGCGCACCTTAAACGTGAAGGACTGGTTAAAGCTAGACATCATTTGTGTATTTATTTAGCAGACAGGCAACATTAGAATATACGATTGATTATTACATATTGTGTTGGGTTACAATCTTATGTGTTCGGAGATATGAAATATGTTGTAAGATTTGTTGAGCTAAGTATTATATGAATTGCAGATAACGCCGCCGGATCCCATACCATATTCGACGAATGATCGGAAATCCAGTCCGCTAGTTTCACAGCGACAGGGACCACCAACGGCCAACTCGATGGGTCAGGGTAAGTAGAAGATGTTTAATTCTGAAAATAATGCGAATGATCTAAATAAAAAAGATTAAAAATTGTCTTTGACTCCAAAATGGCACAAAATAATGTGAATGCTCTAAAAAAATTTTTTTAAAAAACCCATCTTGATTGACTCGAAATGCCACAAAATTAATGTGAATGCCATATAAAGAAGTGATTAAACGATTTCCTACCATAATAATTGGAGTAATGTCCTTCTTTTTTCAGGTTCTCTGTCGTCTTCTAATCCAGATACAAGCAACCTATCGTCGTTTGCACAGGGTTCGGCAAATTACCAGTCAACTGGATATCAGGGACACAAAACATCAGCCTTGCCAGGATCTCAGGCTTACACACATACAACCAGTGCACAGAGTGTAGCATACCAGAGTCCTTACGAAACTAGTCAAAATCAGTATCCCTCAAGTTCGAATCAGTATCAATCGTCAGCACAGAATCAGTTTCAATCGGGACAATCGGCTTATCAGTCAACACAAAACCAATATTCATCAGGACAAAATCAGTACCAAAATGGACAGAGTCAATTCCCTTCAGGACAAACGAGTTATACAAATTATCAATCCGGATCCTCATTCCAAAATCAGTCGGGCTATTCTTCCACGTCAAATCAGTCGAATTCTAGTTCTCTGTATCAAAATTCCTCTCAAGGCAATAATGCTTATACTGGACAATCAAACACGTACCATATGAGAGATACTCAATCGTCCAGTTCAAATCCAACAAACACGAACCAGTATCAGACTCAGTCACCTGTTCTGTCAACGTCTCCCGCGCCCAATCAGAGTGGGTATAGTGCTCCAACAACGCAGGTGGGCGGTGCACAGGGAAATTATAGTGCCCAGCCCCAACAAACTCAAGGTGGCTATAATGCCCAGCCCACTCCAAGCCAGACCAGTTATAGTGCTCAGTCATACAGCAGTTCGTCAGCGTTACAAACTTCTCCTCTAACGTCGTCCAAACTTGGGGACAGTTTGACTAAAATGTCATTGAAGGACACTGCATTGGACAGTCATACTCAATCCCAGGTAATTAACAGGATGTGTGGTTATCGTGAAGTTGGATTTAGCTAGTTATTAAGAGATTGTGATGAGTGTTCAGTTTAAATCCAAGGGTTTGTGATACGGGTTTAAATTAATAAAGGGATTGTGACATGGGTTTTATCCAAGGTTCTGTGAAATCCAAAGTTTGTGTGTGGGAATAATTAATATCCATGGGTTTTGTAGGGTTGGTTTGTCATGTAAGTATTTGAAGGGTCGGTGTGCATTGGTTTGTCATGTAAGTATTTGTAGGGTGGGTGTGCACAGGTTTGTCATGTAAGTATTTGTGTATGTGGTTTAATGGTCAAGATGATGACATAAAGTAATATATTCATGATGATTGAGGGCATTAGTCCAAATGTCAATATATTATGCAATTTAAAATCACTTGCGTGCAATGCTGCTAAAGTGTCGCATCACCGCCATCTTGTATACATAATGAAAGTGAAAGGATGATGTGACATGTATTTTATAGTATGTAAAGTACGTGCAGTGCTCACCCTGATTTCCCTTCTTTTTTTTTCTGCCAATTTTACATTTCAAGTTATTAATCATATATTTCCTATGCTCCCCAAAAATTAAAAATATTAGGTATTTTCAGTAGTTTTTATTACATTTTACTTTCAATATGAATACATGTACAATATACATAGATGTTACAATTTACAAAATTCTCTGCTTTGCAGAGGTCCATTTGATATATAGTATGTGATATTATTGATATTATATATGTTAGAGTTATATCCCTTGTGTTAAGAACTTATATGTACGTACAGGTATATTATGTGGAGATGGGCTTTGAAAAAGACAATTATATTGCGACAATCTGCAGAAGTACATGTGGGATGCATACATATACACATAACCAGCCAATGTAACAGGACTGAAGCAGGTTCAATATTCAGTGTGAAAGTTGTCATGCATTAATTGTGTAGGATCTGGATCAGTTCTGTATCTGGATTAGCATTTATCAAATATTTATCTTTTGAAAATTCCTGCCAGTTTCTTCTTTCTTGATAATTTTTGAATTGCTAGATTTTCACCTATTGCCTCACATTTTTAGATTACCTTGCTGTTCAGGCAAAATAAGGAAAGTCCTACATGTCATAAAATGAGTGTATGTTATTCTTCCATTTCTCTCATCTCCCTGTACTGGATGATTTCTTGTTTTATTATGAGTATATATTTTTATCATTTCAGTATGAACATTCTTCTTCGACCACCCCAAGTCTAACAGCTACGACCAGTACACCTTCATTATCAGGTGCATCTGTAAATACTGTTAGTACGACGTCGGTTACTGCTGCCATGGTAACGACTACTAGTTCCAGGATTTCGTCGATGTCTTCTAACAGTAGTCTCAACAGTATCACAACATGTAAGTTTTCTTCCATGTTATATTTGAGGGGAGTCAGAGTGGCAGAATGGGAAAGGTGCTGGCTCGCTAGTCTTAAGGTGAATCACGATACATCGATTCAACAATATAACGTGCCACACTAGCTTAGAAATAATATAGATATAAACACAGAAATAGGATGAATCTTTGAGAAAGGAGACAAAACAGTTCATTTTGGTGCGTATCATAAAATGCCTACATGTACATAGAAAGCTATGCAACTTTGCAGGTTTTACAGTTGCGGTTACATTTTCTTCTCCTGTTCAACTATTGTCTATCATGAAAGAAAATAAATACTTGCTAATTTCAATAGTAAATATCGCTCATAGATGAAATTGTTGTCTGCCTTTCTTACGATGAAACTGTTGTCTGCCTTTCATAATATGAAATTGTCGTCTGCTTTTCTTAAGATGAAATTGTCGTCTGCCTTTCTTAAGATAAAGTTTTTGGTCTATTTCAGCTAAAGCTCCACCAAATCTGCCACCAGGTGTCCCGTTAGTAGGAACACCTCAGTATATTATGGGTCAGGCTGGTGGTGTTCCATCGTTCTATAGTTTACAACAGCCTCTGTATGGTTATGAAGACCAGATGCAGTTGTTGCAACAGAGAGTTCCTCTTGTAAGTTTATTATTATTACGGTTGGAAGTTGTACCGAAATGTGATTAAGATGATCATAATTTATACCAATATTTGTGACCGTCAATTGTCTGTCTGCTAGGGTTGACGGCTACAATAGGGCTGTGCCGAGGTTGAAGTTAGGTGTATAGGGGTAGCTCGGATTACCACTTTCGGTTTCAAAGTCATGCTACAACCGCTAGTGTTAGATATACATGTAGCAGTGTAATTCATGTGCAGTCGATTATTTTCTACCTAAGTCTTAGTCATTTGTAGTCCATCACTTACAATACCCACAGATGTCATGTTAAATTCTTCAGTTAAAAATGTGTTCATTGCTGGCTTTATTGAATTGACGTTGTCAATGTCATCGTTGAATTCTCTTATTGGAAATGTTAAAAACATGCTTTTTAATCTAATGCTCCATGTGCAAGTGGGAGTGGATGGCCGAATGGTTAGCGCGTGCATGCTGTATCATAAGGTCTGTCATTGAGTCAACAGCCATGGTTTCGATTCCCCGGTTGTACTTGACAAGGAGAAGGGTCATCTGTCCAACCTCGTGGGTTTTCTCCAGTTTCCTCCCACTGCTAAAGATCTCTTCGCACAAGCATATTATTGAAATAAAATTGAACCATATGTTAGTTCCGAAATGACCTTGTTTGTGTGAGGGGATGTTAAGCCCAATCTCTCTCTCTCTCTCTCCCTCCTTCCCTAAGCAATTAGTTATAACAATTTTGGGTGACTATTATTTCTTTAGGAGATGCAACTTACAAGGGATTAATCTCAAATGATGATCAGAGACCTAATTGAATATGATTTAATTTTCAGGCGAACAACTACTATGATATGGCAGCCACGTATCAAGTTCCTTCATCTATGTCTGGAAGAGATCAAGCTACACTGGGAAATGTTTCTTACTCAGGTAGGTTGTTTTGGTAGTTTTCAAATTTTAGAATAATTTATCAAATGAGATACTCCGGGGTAACTTTCAAGTTTGAAAATATTTGATCAGAATGAGATTATTAATTAAAATACTGTATTTCATCATCTGTTAACCCTTTAGCTCTTGGTACATAAAGATATGGACTAACCAGTTCCGTGAAGAAAATTAGAAAAAAAAATGATATATTAATACTGGTATATCCCTAAACAGATCGAAACTACTTTTCTCTGCATTATAGGATCATTTTATATGCAATGCAGCTGTGCATGTGACGGGCTGTCTAAGGTGCTCTAGTGTGTGTGTGTGTGGGGGGGGGGGGTCGAACCGTCTAAGTGCCAATGGGTTAATTGTGTAGATGGTTTTAGAACAATGTTTTAATCTAATTTGTATTCTAGTGCCAATGGGTTAATGATGTAGATGGTTTTAGAACAAAGTTTTATTCCAATTTGTAATCTACTTTCAGCTGATAGTACCAAGTTAAACAGGGTTGATGCCCAGTCTCCTAATCCCTCGACACAACAGCCAACAAGTCAGTCAGCACATCAACCTTTCATTCATTTTAACTATGGTTACTATTACCCACAAGTTTTACCTGGTACCGCTGGCTTTCAAATACCAACAATGTATCCAGTAAGTTCAACTTTTGATTAATAATACAAAACTATCATCTTATACTACTATATTTTTGTGAAGGAAATGAAAAATAGTTTGAGGACAAGAGGGGCACCAATCTGGAAACAAAAAACAGAACAAAAATGAAATGAAATGGGGTTTAACATCCTACTGTTCTGCTCCTAAACTGGGTTAATGAAGACATACGCCATACAGTGTGCTATGTGGGAAATTTTGCCCAGGCAGCGATGCTAAGGCCTACTCTTATGTCGAATTTCGACTTGCAAGGGATCTTTATGTGCACGCCAATGTGTACACAGTACCTCGGTTTTTCGTACCATCCGAACAACTAGACAGGTGTCCTTGTCAGGCCAACCGACCTGCAGGAAGTGAAGGAAATCAAATGGGATTTTAAAATGAGATCCGATTTAATGTCCAATTTTTCTGCACAAGCTGATCTAATGAACATGGGCATACACAATACAGTGTGTTGTGCAGATTTTGCTCGGACAATGGCATTTCATCCATTTTTATCTGTAGATTATTGGGCGGCTGAATAGTCAACATTTTTGCGTTGGATTATACGGTCTTGTCATTGAGTCCATTGGCATGGTTTCGATTAACCACTTGTACATGACAAGGAGATGGGTCACCTGTTCAACCTCATGGATTTTTTCCAGGTCCTCTGATTTCCCCCCACTGCGTGCAAATGAATTATTGAAATAAGATTGAATGTTAATCCCGAAAAATTACCTGTTTTGTGTGGAGTGGACATTGATCTCTCTCTCTCTCTCTTTCTCTTTCTCTCTCTCTCTCTCTCTCTCTCTCTCTTATTTATCAGTAACAAAAACTGTATTCAGTTTGTATATTTAGAAAATAACAGTTTTTGTATTTGTTCATTTGTAGATGCCAACTGTGACGAACACACCTCATGCTAGTACGACAGCTACAACACAGTTCCAGAAAACATATGCTTCACATGGATACGGAACGAAAGGTGATTATTACTTTAATAGTTTTATGATTTAGATGGATCAAATGAGCTGAACAATTAACAAGTAATGCATGCCTGTGTCTTTTCATTTGACAAAAGCAGTAATTTGGCTATCTTCATGTAAATTTATATATAGTTCAAAGGTCGAGAACGAGACATTAGGTAATATGTTGATGTTGTAAGAAGATATCTTGTATCAACATATTACCCAATGTCTCAAGTACTTGAGTCTTTCAAACAACTTTAATACAGATTACACTATCACATATCTCTTTGAAGTCATCATGTGCCTCTTCTATACATATAGTACAATAACAATGTTTCCTGTACCATTATTTGAAAAAATAAGCCAATTTTAATGCATGACGTCTCATCTGTATTTTAATCTTGTCTGTGAAGATAAGGTCAGCTATATGACCCAGGGTCAGTTTTATTATTCGGCCACATGGAAATGCGGTCAGATATTGTCGTCGGCCCTGTCGATCCGTCGTCCACAATTTCTTGTAAACACTCTACATTTATCATCTGATTGTTTTGAAATTGATATATGTTGTTTACATTAGTGCAGTGATTCTCAACAGGTGTGTCACAAGATCTTCCTAAGTGTGCCGCGAAATTTTGAACTGCACACTAAGAAAATGCGAAAAACCTTGTGATCCAATTGAGTATTAACTGGTGTCTACTGGTAACTTCATAGTTGTGTTTTTCTTTATTTAGTTTGAGTCATTCTATGTGTCTATGACTAGTCTCTGTCTACGAATCTATGCCGTATGACTTGCCATGTTTTTATTTTGCAAAATTAAAATATTTTTCATATATATTTAGCCAGGTGTTGCCGCTATTTTTTCATGTATTCCAAGGTGTGCCGTTGGCAAAAAAAGGTTGAGAACAACTGCATTAGTGAGATGAAGAATCGTATTTAATTTTAATAATTTCTTCTGGAATTATGGCCCTTATTTCACATTATTGGAACCTGTGAACGCTACAACGACAAAAATTATCATCCAATCTGTATAAAATTTATGTGCATCCTTTATATTATTAGTAAAACGAAGAAACCTCTTGAATTTCAGCAATTTCTGTTAATTACGTCTAGAGTATTGGCCCTTGTTTCATTTTGTAGAACCCAGTGAAGGCTCTACGACAAAAGTTATCATCTGATCTGTATGAAATTTATATGCATCATTTAAATTAGTGAAACAAAGAATTCTATTGAATTTCTCCTGCAGTTATGACCCTTGTTTCACTTTGTTGTTCTTTGTGAAAACTCCACGACAAAAGTTACCATTGGATCTGTATGAAATTTATACGCATCATGTAAATTAGTGGAACGAAGAATCCTATTGAATTTCAGCAATTTCCAATAATTACTTCTAGAGTTATCTCTCTTATTTAACTTTGTGAACGCTTGAATGTGTTATTGTTTCAGTTTGTAGCACCTTGTGAATCCTCAAATAATCTGATCTGTACGAAATTGCCATGTAAATGCCCACCATTACCTACAAAAGATTAAATATGCGACAACCCTTGATGACTGCTCGGACGATTTAGCTGCTGTGGGCATATGTTTCATTGCCTGGCAACCTATCTTTTAACGTGTAATGTAGGTAGGGAAATAACTGAAATTACATGAAATTGAGTTTTATGACATGTCAGCTCCAACTAGGCTATATTATGCCCCAAAAAAGTAGCCCTGTAGGTTGAATATTAACGATGTTATTAAAATGGATTGTTGTATTTAGGTTACGATGATTTAAGTCAAGTACAAGATTATGCTAAAACTGCTTATGGAGTGACACAGGCGCAAACTAAAGTATCTGCAGGAACAAGTACGTACACGTAAAAAGAAATATAATTAACCATAGACCAGGTTATCAAATGAAACTAATTTTTGATAACCTTGTTCAAGGCATGCTTCCTACACCTGATGCTGTTTTTTTTTCGTTAAAAATTGTATACTTGCCCCATTTTAGCCAGAAAGCTCGGGTATATAACGATAAAAATGTTGTTGTTGTAACTTGTCATTCTTAGTTGCATGTCTCTTAGAACTACATGTAACTATTGGTACTGCCGTCTGTAAAACTATTGAAAATATTAGTTTGCGTTCCTGTGGATTTTTTTAACTCCATATCCTAGGGCTTGACAAAAATTTCAATAAATTAATATATCGAATTATGTAAATTTGATTAGCAATATTTTTTTAACATTAAAAATAACGCAATAATCCAATATATCGTTTGACGCTAGATTATCGCCATTCCTCCAACAATATTCTCTCAAAGATTATTGTATTTTTTATTTAAACAAAGTAGAAAACAGATTGATCATACATAAGAATTCATCCTTCATAAATCCATATTCAACAGAGCTGTATTAAGGCACACGTTTTGTTTAACTAGAGCTGGACAATTACTTTAATAAATCAATAAATCGGAATATGTAAATTTTATTGACAATAAATTTTTGATAGTGCAATAATCCAATATATCTGTATCTCTTTTCCTAAAAATATTCTGTGAAGGAATATTTTATTTTATTGAAACGTATGTTGGCTTGACCTTAAAATGATTTAAAGTATGAAATCTGTTAGAAGGGTTTGCCAACTCTTTCGAGCCTTTTCTCTTGAAGCAGTATAATATTGCAATATATTGTGGATTTTTATATTGGTATCGCAATAATAAAAATTTCAAATTATGTCCCACTCTACCATATCCATGTTATATAGGTTAACAGTACATGTAAGTTAGTAATCCCCAATTAGCGAGCCACAGTGGAGGTTGCATGTTCAATCCGTGCATTGGATGAGAAAGTTAATCGGATTTTCCTACGTGGTTTCCCCCTTGTCAGTGGTGCAGGAAGGAGGGCTTGACAAGGACAACTGTCCAATTATTTGGATGTCCCGAAAAACCAAGGTCCTGTGTACACATTGGCATGCACGTTAAAGATCCCTGGCAGTTGGAATTCGATATAAGAGTAGGCCATAGTGCCACTGCCTGGGCAAAATTTCCCTCATAGCACACTGTATGGCATATGCCTGTCTACATTAGCCCATTTGGAGCAGAGAACAGTAGGACGTTAAACTCCATGTCATTTCATTTCAATCCCCAAATGATCGTCTGAAAGCTCTTCTCCCACTTTTATGGTTTTGGCCACCTGAAACTAATTGCGACAGACAAAATCTTTTAGTGTTTGGCGTATTTGAAGTGACCATGTGGAATAGTTTTCTCTGCTATCAAACATCGTAAGTTGTACATTGTGTGTAAATTCTCATATCATCCCAACTAATTCACATGTAATTTTATTATGAATTATCTGTTTTAGGAGCGGCTGCTGACTTGGCAGGTTCAAGTTATACTAAATCTCATTCACAGGTAAGTTACAATTTACATCATAAATATTTACAAGTTGGATGGTCAGGTGGGCTAATACTTGTGCTTTAGTTCATAAGGTCTGTCAATGTGTCATAAGTGGCATGGTGTTAATCCCACACTTTTACGTGACAAGGAGTGGGGTCACCTACCAAGCCGTCATGGAATTTCTCTGGCTCTACAGGTGTCACCACATTGCTTAAAAAAATACAAACCAAAAAAGACATGGTTTTAATTCCCTACTTGTACGTGACAAGGAGTAAAGTCGCCTGTCCAACCTGGTGGGTTTTCTCCAGGTCTTCCGTTTTTTTCTCCCTCTGCAAAAATTCCCTATTTGCAAATGAAATAAAATTGAACCGTTAGTCCCAAAATGACCTAGTTTGTGTTGAGTGAACATAAAACCTCATCTCTTTAATAGACTAACTAATAAACCAGCCTTTTACTTTTGAAAAGTTTATACATGTTTTTAATGGTTGAAATATATTTCAGGCTTTTGATAAGCAGGGATTCCATGCTGGAACTCCACCACCATTTATGCCACATGGAACCGCCAATCAGACTGGACCAATGGGAACACCAACTAATCCGTATGCTGCTGCAGCCCCATTTGTACAGATGATGACTCCTCACAATCAGATGTTACATCATGCCATGCAGCAGGTAAGTTGTATCATGTTTACATGGCTTGCAAATTGCGGGGTTGGTTGGCCGAATAGTTAACACGCGTCACTGAGTTAAGTGGTTTGGTTTCGATTCCTTGGTTGTACGTGAGAAGGAGTAGGGTCGCCTGTCCTCTACCTCGTGGGTTTTCTCCCGGTATCATAAGGTCTGTCATTGAGTCAACTGGCGTGGTTTTGAGTTCCTGGTTGTACAGGACAAGGAGAAGGGTGGGTCTCCTGTCCAACCTTGTGGTGGGTTTTCTCAGGGTCCTCCGGTTTCCTCCCACTGCTAAAGACCCCTACACGCAAGCAAATTATTGAAATAAAATTGAACCATGTGTTGGTCCCAAAATGACCTAGTTTTTGTTGTATTTTTCAGGATTCTTCTGTGTCTAATAGAATGTCTCAGACAAGCTCTCAGTCTAAAACAGGTGGATCTAAGGCTTATGGTGGAGCGTACTGGGGTACAAACTAAATCTTGTTTTTATTGACAGGATCTCTCAACAGTTGAATAGAATAAACATGATGTGAGAATTAGCGTTGTATTTCGGTTTCTATTTATTAAACCGTGAAATCTTGTAATATACCGTCATCCCTCTTTTTGTTAATGTTCCCTTTAAGATTGGCTGCCGTGAACTTTATAAATAGTGACTGATGTTGTAGAAATACTTGTCCTGTAGAGATAATAATAATTATTATATAATTTTCTATGTACAGTTCATCATTTTTTGCCATTTTAATTTTTTATTATTACTTTTTTTTTTTCCCTCCCTTCAGAGTTATTTGCATATTTTCATGTGCTCTTTGTCCAATTTCATGTTTTTTAATAAGGATTATTATTCAAAAGAATGTGTGTAAATTATTTAAGACAAAGGAAAATTTACAAAAGTATTCAAGAAAGGACTTCTTAGAAGAATTTGCGCTGGTGCCTTACTGAATTGTGGAAAGAATAGAATTTCACTGAGCTGGGCTGATAACTATATAACTATATGTATTGCCGAATGATATAAAAGGGAGGGGTGGGGAGTGTTTGTGTGATATATATACAAGTAACTTGAAGTTTACTAAGAACTAAATATGTGTAAATTTTGTAAGTATTATTATTAATTAACCAAAAATTTATATTGAAAAGATAAAAATATTTTGTTCATTTCATGCACATTCACAATTTGAGCTATCTGCTCAGCTCAGAGTTTATTAGCACTTATATAAATAAAGAAAGGTTGCGATTCATTCTTTAAATATATTCATCATTATTCTTATTTCTTTTTTTGTATTTTGTGCTCACATTTATTATAAATTTGAATTCGGGAAATCAGTCAGTTGTCTGCCCTTAGATTGAAAGACATAATTAAATTGACATCCACCAGGGTCTTGGATTACATTTCTGATTTCCTTGAAATAATTGTTTCCAATTTTTGTTTTATTTGCACTAAAGAGAGAAAGTGACAAAAATGTGATTCTAAAAAAGAAATTTGTCATTTATTTTAGAATGGAATTTAAACTTTAATAATATGAATATTGTAATATATGGGTGTTAGAAAGCGAAAGTAGACATATTTTCCTGTGATCTATACAAGAGCCAAGCTGATTCCAGACAATCTAAGAGTTGATGAGTCACTGATTTCCCTGTGTTTATTCGGAACACACTGTGTAACCCTGTGGTGTGCTTTGTGCCATGTTATGTATCAATATATATATATATAGTTTGTTTTATCATAAATGCGTTTATTTTGTGTAATCTGTCTTTATATCATTATTTTGTTAATAGGTTGCTTTTTAAAGAAATTAAGAGCTGAAGTAATTTTCATTGTCTGTAATAAATTTCTGAAATACTAAATTTTCTGTTGTTTATCATTAACTGGGTCTTGTACAAGTAAACTTTATTGAAAGTCATTGGCTAAATCCTAAAATCTGTGCATATTATTCGACTACCACATCTGAGATTGAAGTTTTTCATGATAATACCAACACCCAGTGCCGGAATAGGCATTGCTCAATAGTGTTTAAAACTTTCAGCTTCTAGTCGTGATGAATATTGGGAGAGGCCTCTTAGGCGGAATAGACTAGGGCTTCTTTTCATCTAAATCCAGCCTTGCCAATATAATTATGCCAATCTACACAGTATGTTAAACATCTACGTTTAAGATTTTCATGATAATACCTCCACCCTTGCTAATGTGTTTTTAACAGAATTTTAAAAATGTCCTATTAACTTGCATGATAGTTTCCATTGGGAAAGCAGTTAACAAGAATTTACCCCCTAAAGATGCATTATGTAAGATTTAGATAGAGCTGGACATTCTTACTATAATAGTTCAAAAATAGATAATGAAACATGAATATACTGAAAATTTCATTCAAATGAATTTATTCTGAGCGAGGTTATCACTGTTTAAAGTGGCATAGATTGATAGATTGAATTTTAACGTAGCAATGGCACTTGTTAATTCAAGTTGTTTCTTCATTTTAAAATATCATAAAATAGCAGTCATATTTCAGTCTGTTTAAATCTCCACTATCCGATGATCTAGAGAGTTGATTATAGACTTGTAATGTGAATAAATGTCTAAATAATAATTTATATAATATTTGAAGCCAAAATAAAAACCTGCAACAGGCAGATTTAGTTTTTACATACTTCACCTTTAATGGATTGTAAACCAATGTTTGCTAAATGTTTTAAGTGTTTTTAATTGCTGCAAGGTTGAATCAAAATTTCTTTCTTGAGATGGATTTAGAAAACTACGACCCTCCACATCCAACTGATAACCGAAAATACATGCATATTAAGTCTTGACATGCTATGAGCAGAAAATGTTCTCTTTTAATTTTCTTATGAAAAAGGTAAATACCTAAAATATTTTCTGACATGATTATTCTTTTTAGAACGAAAACCGGAGTTGTCTCCCTTATGCGTTTATGCAACGATTCAGATGTAATCATTACAGAGTACCGTACTTAAAATTGGTAAATTTCCCAATGATTGAAAGAACTTCTCATTAGAATGGCAATTTCAACAATAATCTATAATTTATTCAGTATGGACCAGTTCTATGGAACATTTCCTTTCGTTTGTGACTAATTCTAAAAATAGATATCACGTGATCAGATGTAATCAAAGATGGCGGCATCTGGGCGAGGTATTCTTTCCAGTGAATCTGATTCCGAACAAAACCCTTGGGAAAATCAAGAATCTACCAATTCTCATCGAAAAACTAAAAATATATTCGACGACGATGTCAGTTTTGACAGAGCAAAGAAAATCATCCTTAATGACCTGAAAGATGAAGACTTTGAAAACGACATTGACGAAATCGGTTGGAATGATGAACCAGTACCGCCGTCCAAAACATTTCCGGGTTCCTCAACTTCTTCAGAACCCAAGGTGAACCTTGACAATCTTGGCACCCCTTCTTACACATCACCCAGGCTAGCTGCCAGTACACTTTCTGTAACCAAGAACACAAATCCAGTGAAAGCATTATTGACACACAGTCGGTCACTTAGCAGTGGAGGAACGTTTAAGCCATTTTCACTTAGTGAGAATTTAAGTAGAGGAGTGAGTGATCCAAGCATTGAAGAAGTTGTGCAGCTAGAGTCAAATCGATCGTTTGGGTCTACTGACATAAATAAGTTACAGGCAGAAATACAAACTTTACAGCGAATCAATTTACGGGCAAAGCGTGATCGTTGGTCCAAATTACCAGTAGAGAATACCATTAAGAGAATGCTGAAAGGGGAGGCATGTACTTTAGAATTCTACAAATCTTTAGATGATAAATTAGCGTTGATCGACGAATCGGTAAAAGTGCATGATGGTAACTGTATAATAGCGACCGTTTTATTTCTAAAGAGAACTGTAAAGGCATCAATATTTAATTTTGAAGTATCCAGAAGGCCTGTCGCATTAAATCACTATTTAAATTACTTACGGACCAAGTTAGATTACCAAGAACTGTCTATGATGTTGGAAATGACCGGCAGAACGGAAGAAGCAGCCATGTTACAGTATAAAGTAGCCTCGAACTCGACATTAGGTACCTCCAAAACAAGTGCTTTACGTAATGTTTTAAGGAGTCACTTCAGTATGGACCAACAGCTTGCATCAGAAGCATCACTAGTGGCTGAACATATAGATCTTTTAGAAAGACAATCACCCATCGAAGAATCAGATGCCAGAGAGGAGGCTAGTGGCAGGAATCAAATGTTCCGTAACATTCCTAGAAGAAGATCAATATTTGAAATGCCACTTATTACTACCTTATATTATTGTTGTTTATATCATTATCATTTAAGTGAAAATTCATTGGCCAGTCCAGTCGCCATTCGAAAAAGGCATCACATCTGTGATAAACAATTTCTGTACTGTGCACTAGGAGCTCAGGCAAGATTACAAAAATGGAGAACCATTGAAGAACTGCTTACTACAAAGAGTTGGTTTGGAGGAACCAAGATGAAATCAGCAATTGGTTGGGATAAAGTTGTCAATATCTTAAATAAACATAATGCTCCTCTTGATCTTTTACATAAATATTTGAATTTTATTGATGATTTAGAACTTAGGGCCGAAGTAGCCAAGAAAAATTCTATAGTTTTAAGTCAACCATGATAACATGATTCTCAAGTGACCACTTTACTTAAAGATACATTATAGGAGATTAGATAAAGAGCTGGCAGTTCTCACTATACTAGCTCAAAAATAGATAATGTAAAATGAAAATATTGAAAATTTCATTCAAATTACTTCATTCTGATCCACGGTATCACTGTTTGTAGTTTGGACAAGATGTGTGAATTGTGGTAACCAGGGCACTGGTAGATTCGAGACTTAGCCTCGCTTTCCCATTTTTAAATAGCGAACCGTTCTAAAATAATTAAAATCTTGAGTATCCGATGCCACGGAGAGTTGATTATGGTCTTTATTTTGTTAATTAATGTCTAATTAATAATTTATATAACATTTCAGGCTTAAAGAAAGACCTGTAATAGGCAGATTTAGCTCTTGCATAATGTATGTTTAAATACAGATTTAATATTTGTAAGTTTTTATTCGATTCGATGGAAATTAAATCCAGATCTGAAAGCAGCATTCCACTTATATAGTAGTTATGAAACTGCAAAGTTTTAGTCTCACATTATACCAAATTATTATTTATTTGTTAGCAAGGGTAAATTCAGGAATTTTGGCAGGAGGGGGTATGGCAGGCTCCTGTTATGGAAATTTGACAGTTGACAATGCGTGATGCCATCATCGTCTCTAAATTACGTAGGCATACATACACATTTCATTGATGCAAAGCATTAATTGTGAATGATATCACACATGTCTATATCATTATTTCGCGCTTTCATTGTCAATTCCGTCCCGCCATCTGATGATAAAGGATAAAGCACACCGTTGCACGTTCTCATAAAGTGTTGTTTTACAATTTTATTTTTGTTGCTGAACAGGGTGGGGTTTGGACACCCCCCCCCCTTCTCTCTGGATCCACCCCTGGTTAGATAAGAGCAACACTCGGTTAATATAGCCTACTCCATTTACCTGTACTTAAAAAAAAATGTTTTTGAATATTGTTGTCATGGGTTCATTTTACAAGTGATCTTTTTTTGTTTTTTGTTTATTTTTTTTTTAAATATTTGTATTCAATTTGCAGTAACTAGGTACTAGATTATCCAAAAGAGCTTATTAATAGATCCATTATTCTTCAAGCCCTTTGGCATGATGCTGTACAAGTGATCTAAGCCTTGAAATTTTTATAAGTAAAAAGGTAGACCCACAGAAGATAATTTAATAAAACAGGTTCTCTATGAATAGGTTCTGTATGAATAGGGGTAACCAGAGACATTAAGCAAGTCCAATGCCCAAAGAACTGGGCCAAACTGGGAGCCTGTATAACCACAATACCCAATCAGGACTCTATATGGTTGACAAGAGTGAGTCCAGTCATTCAAGTCTTAAATTCACAATTGTAGCCATTCAGGCAGTACATATGCCTAGAGTACCGTAAAATTAAAAACAAACAACTGAATTGTCAGGTAATAAGATATAATTGGAAGTGATTTTTTTTTTACCCAATCCAATTTATACTATGCATATTCATTGAATTTATTAAAATATTGCTAAGGTACTACATGTAATGTATAAGAAAATTGTTAAAGGGGCAATTCCAGATTTCACAGGACAACATCACTGAAAGTCAATTTAACTTTACACATATTAACAATATACCAAAATTGTTAAATTTTATTTGAAAAAATTAGATTTCCTTAATATTGGTTATGTAACTCATTTAAGAAATATCATTGTTCAGTTGTAAGAGTGGCTTGATAATCATGATGATCACTTACATGTACCATAACCAGTATATTGACTTAATGTCCAACCCCACATGGAAACTGAAAGTTTGTATTTCTTTGAAAAGTATCACAGAGCTTGTGATAGTTGCATTTGACAAGAACCCCAAATTAACCAGGGGCCTGTTTCGGGAAATTTTAACTAAGATAAAATCCAAATTTTAGTAATTTGTTTGGATAATATTAGGTTGATTTTAGTGCTTAACCAATCAAAATTGAAGTATCTACTAAAATTTGGATTTTATCTTTACTTAAGATTTCCTCCCACTGCTAAAGCAAATTATTGAAATAAAATTGAACCATATGTTAGTCCCAAAATGACCTAGTTTGCATTGAGTAGACATTAAATCCCATTTATCTCTTTTTTTTTATTATTAAACGTATATCTGGGACTGCTCCTTTAAAAAGAAAATAAAACATAATATAATGTTTATAAATGTTATATTTTAAATTAGCTTTAATGTTTTTTTTCTATAATATTATCTTGTTATTTAATAAAAAAATGATCTGAAATATGGAATCATGTCTTGATATATTTAATACATAAAAATAAAAAAAAGGGATAGATAACCATTTAGTAAACCATGGTATGACGAGCAGCTCTATCTAACACTGTCAATGGTGCAGAAAGGGGAGGTCCTGGCATGGTAAAATGTCTAGTCATTTGGACGGGACAAAAAAAAAAAACCCAGGTCCTGTGTATGCCATTGCCAGTAATAAACTAGATTTCCGGACAGGGTAGGCTTCATCGCTGGGGGTGGGGGTGGGATCTGACATAAATGATTTTTTCTAAAATGGGAGCGATTTCAGAATCAGTAAAGCTTTACCCGTGGACCTTATAATAAGGTCCATGCTTTACCTTACCATTTTTTTTGTAGGTACGCCTACTCCTGTTTTCCTTCAAATTCTGTATACACCTGAGCACAACTGAATTACTGAATACTATAGTACCGAAATCACCTGGTAAAGATGCGCACAGGTCACTACTGCACTGTGGTATTCCCGAAATTATCTAGTTCAGTTGCATGGATCTCTCTCTCTCTCTCTGTTGTTTTCTTCCTAATTTTGGAAATACCAGTGTCCAAGCAACATTTTCAGAATGAAACAAACAAGGTATAGCAACATGGCAAAATAAGTCACGCTAATAATTAAATAGCTTGAACTTGAGCAATCTTCAGGTCACGTGTTGAATGCTCACTCGCAATACTTAGAAATGGCGGGAAAGTAGTGACAATCAAGGTCAAACGAGAGAATAGAGTTCTTTTGGTTCGAAGGGGGTGTGCTTCTAACATAACGGATGGTAACTGTAGTTCTACCTAATATGAAGTGGGATTACGCCTTCCAGGTAAGAATTTTCAATTACTATTCTATGGAATAAGGAATATTTTAGGCCCGATCATGGTTTATAATTGTTGCAGCAACTTTCAAACTAAGTTCTTCGTCAGTTTTAGTCTAGCATTCTGTCTACACCAACATTTAACGATGTCTTTAGACAACACATGAAATTGAATTTAACGATATATGATGACCTAAAACAGAAGTTGTAGCCTAACATTTCTTCTTCGGTACAACGTAACCATTACTAACCAATAGTAAAAGGGTGTTTCGTTAAGTGACATTTAGTTATTGAACAGTAATAACACACTAACTATTTATAGAATAAAAATTACTGGTTTTTTAACATGCAACGACGATGATACTCTCTGACGACGAGGGTATCATTGTCGAAACGTTACATGTTAATAAACCAGTAAATGTTATTCTATAAATAGTGTTAGTAAGTAAAAGGGTGATCAACAAGACCTATTCATTCATATAGACTATAATAAAAGCCAAATCGAAACGTTGCTCAATACTAAACAGTTGTATTCCATAGGAACATATACTCCTCGCTGTGTTGTGTTTCGTTTGATTAGACCTAATAATCCCACTGAGAGGAATTTCTCGGGCCATTGCTTCAGGAATATGCATAGGCATAGAATGGTGACCTGTGTATTTCCAGTTCAGTTCAATTACTCAATATACCATTGAAATAATCTCTTCATTCATCCCTGACCACAAATACTATTTGGTCTAGTTTCTATGAAGGAGTGAAGGCACTATTTACTTCAGTCAAGATCTAATAAGATTAGTATTAGAACTAGAACTATAAAAATTAAGATTTACTTATTTTTTCTTTTGTAAGTTGTTTTTTTTATTTTGACTTTTTTTTTTAGTTTAGTCTTTCATCATGAAAGGTGTATGTATAGCCTAATCCTTATATATAGATATAGCCATCTGAAAATATACGAGTTATTCAAATATTCCAAAGTGTGAAAGAAAAGGCTTAATAAATATTGTGCTAGAATTTGTATATACAATGTATTTCAAGATAAGTTCCCTGTGATTAATTAGGTCATTTAGTACAATATTGAAACTTTGTATTTGTATATATTTCAAGATAGATTCCCCGGGGATTAATTAGGTCAATTAGTACAACATGAAAACTTATTTTTTTTATAAAAAGTATATTTCTTGACACCTTGAAAAACGACATGTTTGATTGAAAGTGATTAGTAAGTTGAGAAAAGATAAAATAGGAAATAAATCCATATCTGTTAACGATAAGTTTGGCACAAGACAGTTAATAGCCCCTCTTCAGAGGCAGGGTTACCCCCCCAAAAAAACAGCACCCATAAAATTTTTATATTAAATCCTTGGTGGCTTTGCATTAAAGTCCTGTTGTTCCCAAACTATACTCCAAGTTGCCTCCGCGGCAATGGAGGCAAACATGCATAAGTTGAGCAAGCTTGTCAATTACTCAAACACATTTGTTTGAGGATTTAATAAAAAAAATTTATGGGTTCTGTTTTTTTGGGGGCCAAACTGTATTTAAGCTAGTTCAAAATCGCTGTGTGTTGGGATGGCCTAGTGGTCTAGAGAGATACACTTCGAGCTTAAGCTGGCTGGTCACCTCTGGCTTACGGTCGTGATTTTCATCCTCGATGTGAGAAATGAAATGAAATCAAATGGGTTTAACGTCTTACTGTTCTGCTCAGACTGGGCTAGTTAAGACGGGCATACGCCATACAGTGTGCTATGAGGGAAATTTTGCCCAGGCAGCGGCACTATGGCCTACTCTTATATCGAATTCCAACTGCCAAGGGATCTTTGACGTGCACACCAATGTATACACGGGACCTCGGTTTTTCATCCCATCCGAACAATTAGACAGCTGTCCTTGTCAGGCCCTCCTGCCTGCACCGTTGACAAGGGGAAACCACGCCTCGGTCTGAGTGTATGTGGCTTGGAGATAGGGGGCACCTTCTCAACCCTGTGGTTATACAAATGTACGATTATACCATAAGATTATATTGTCAGTGATATGATTTTTATCTATAATAACAAAGTAAAGAAACCCTTTAATCTTTTAATCATTGAACTGCTCTGTTATTAACTCACCTAATGATATCTTTGAACTTTTAGAAAGTTAATCAAGTGAATAAAAAATAAGATCTTTTATATTCAGATCAAACCTTCAACTGTTTAATAGAGTCAGATTAATATAAGCTTTATAGTTTGTTTCCCAAGGTGGGCTGGATGGCCGAATGGTTAGCACGCGTGTACGTGCTGTATCATAAGCCCTGTCATTGAGCCAACTGGCGTGGGTTCGAATCCCCGGTTGTACGTGACACAGAGTAGGGTCGCCTGTCCAACCTTGTGGGTTTTCTCCAGTTCCTCCGGTTTCCTCCCACTGCTAAAGACCCCTATGCGCAAGGGAAATATTGAAATAAAATTAAACCATATGTTAGTCCAGAAATGATCTAGTTTGTGTCGAGTGGACATTAAACCCCATTTCTCTCTCTCTCTCTTTGTTTCTCAATCCAAATAATTTATTATGTATTGTATATAATATGTAATTATTTGTTAAATAAATTCTGTTTAAATCAACTGTTTAATGCTAATTTTAGTCATAGGAACGTTTGATATATACAAACTGTATATTGTAAGTGCCTTCAGTGGTGAACATGTATGCAGGTGTGGAAATAACGGTTTTAGATATATGTACCTGACAAATTGTCAGGCACTAATGAAATAGTACCTGACATTTTCAACTTAATAATTAATAATATCAAAATAAAAGACAAATCAGTGCCGGACAAAATGACAGGCACCAGAGATTGTGTGCCTGACAAATCATGAATTATGCCTGACAATGCCTGTGACAGGTGCCTTATTTCCAGGCTTGATCATGTATGTAGGATTCCGAAAGGAGACATGCCGTCAAAATGTGAATTACATTAATTGATATTATAGGATGTGGGCCATTAAAACTGGGAATTAAGATAAATGATATTAAGGGGGGAATCCACATGGAAACAGATTTTTTGTAGTTCAATAGCCTGATGGGGTCGGGGTGAGGGGTCTTATGGTCCTGCAACACAAGGTTCTGAAAATGGTGCTTTTGTGGGTAGTTCCATTTTATGTTTTTTGAAGACTTAAATATGCAAGTTTTGTGACAGAATGTCAGTGGTTATTTTGTCGGTGTCAGTGGCACTCCTGATTTTTTTTTAAATTTGTGTTCCTGTACCGGGAATTATACATTGTTAATCATTCAAAGCAGATGTCTTTTC